GGGCATATGTGCGAACGGATTAACCTACGCACATACACACATATGTACGTGTGTACTTCCCCTGCACATTTATTCTCTCAATTGGTTCATTTTTACAAGTTTTTCTTTCATTTTTTTTTTTTTTTAAGGTATTGGATTTATGAAGTAGAATCACCCCCGGAAGTGGACGATGATGAATAAGGCAATACCATTTTTTTACTTTTTTTTTTATTAATGGCAAACTAGTTGGCATTATGCGTACAGAAATGGATTAAGTGTAGAAGTTTACATTTTTTTTTTTCCACTGAACTAGTTTAAATGAATTCAATTTTTGACAGTGGTTATACTTTACCCAGGCGTGCAAATTGTACATATACGTACACGCGCTATATTGCATGTTTTTTACATTTTATATTTACCAGTTTATACGTTACGTGTATGGTGTAGTGTACGCACGTTCTTCATATGTTCCATGTACTCTACATTTTTCACCATTACGTTGTGTTCCTTTTTTATTTTTTTATTTTATTTTTTTTTTTTTTTGTCTGAACAGCCATTTTTCGTTACAGTACCATTTCCAGTTGCACAACATTACAGTAAAATTTCCCCAGATGAACTTCATTTTTTTTTAAAAAATAGGAAAAAAAATATGCAACAAAGTTAATTTTTGACTATCGAACCGTTTCTACCAATTTTGCTTTTTCCATATGGGCGTTTTACCACTTGGACGTTCTCACATTTTGAGAATTTCGTTCCGCGTGAAACAAATTGGTTTGTCCATTCCTGACGCTACATGTAGCAATAGACTGAATCGTTTACGTGAAAAATTAAATCGCGGCAGGAATTTTTTTTTTTTTTTTATTGTCTTATGTGTGTAAAAATGTGTTTTGGCTGGTATAATTCTGAAAAAAAAAAAAAAAAATTTAGAAATGTTTTTTTCAAAAATTGCACGTACATATTCAGCTAAAATTAGATAACAAATATGCACAATTAAATATGGGTGCGCTACTTTACAGCCATTTTTATAAGGATAATTCTGAAAAGAAGAAAAAAAAAAAAAAAGACCTTTTGTTCATATATCATTGGGATGAAAATGTACACCAAAAAAAAAAAAAAAAATAAAATAAATAAAAAAACAAAACAGTTTAGCTATTATTTGACTTTAATGTAACACTTTTTTTTGTTCTTTTTTTTTTTTGCATTTCTTTGTGAATTGTTTTCCCCAACTGTGTTTTTTTTACCCTGTTCGTTTGTTTTGCCTTTTTCCTTTTTCGCGTTGATGCATATGAGGTAATTTATTCTTTATTTTGCGTATTGCGCTTTTCTGGTTTCTCAGCAAACCACACTGTTTTAACTAGTGTTATACTGACGCCTTACATGTACATGGGTGTGTACACACGCGTACACATATGTTTATGTTTGTATATACGCGTGTACGTGCGCACACATGCGTAGAACACTGCGAAGGGCATAAAAGGCTAACTTGCTAGTAACAGCATTTACGCACAAGTTTTATCCACGATTTTTTTTTTTGTTTTTTTCGTGTTTCCCCTGTGTATGTCCCTTCAGTCATGTTATAAAACATAAGGAATAATGTGTTGCGTGCGCAATAGTATTTTTAATTCCAACATGTTCCTCTTGTTTTAAGAATGGTTCTTATTAATTGTGCAAGTACTCTTTACGTTCAAATTTAAAAGCAAAACTTGAATAAAAATCAGCACTTTTTTGCGTCGCCACCTAAGTATCCTTTCGAGAGCATAGCTCCAAGCCAAACCTCAGCTACCGAAATATATGCATATTCCTCGTAGAATCATTTAGACACACGCACACATTAGCGCATTCGAGTGTGTCCAGCCCCAGTATAGACAAACACAAACAAACAATTTGGATTAACGCGTTATATTATCAAAAATGGCGAGAACACAAAGTAAGAAGAGGAAAAATCCAAGTTGCTTTTTTTTTTTTTTTAAAGCAACCTACACTGGAGTATTCATACCCCTCTCCCTTACCCCATGAGGGGAAGGCCCTTCTGTACATTATCGCGAAATGTGTGTGTTCGATTGTTGTTCTTGTTCCTACCGTCTTTTATGTACTCCAATTTGTGTAAAATGTTTCAGTACCGTTTTCGCGTAACAAATATAACTATGAAAAGATATACACACATTAACGTGCGTTGAGGGGCGCGGGGCTTCCCCTTGTGAGTGCCTCACATAAGTGAGAATATTATAACGTTATATACTCTGTCATTGTACATGTGAATTTTTTCCCTTTTTTTTTTTTTTTTTTAGTGAGGAGGGCGAGTGACCCCGGGGTGAGTACCGCCGTGACTTCCATAGTGCAGCACCAAAAATTTAAGCGTATGTTAATGTTTGGTTTGAGATCCCTATCCGACTTTTGTAACCCCACATCAAAAACGTACAAAGAAAACGCATTTGACGCATTAGACAGAGGTGCCGTGGAGTCTATAAAGAACGCAGTAATTAATTACAAGGACGATGATGACATTCTTTTTTGCTCAAGTAGAATACTTTTTGCGATGTCAGATTATTGTTGCTTAGAGAAAGACACAGATGCATTACAAAAGTTAATTACAGATGGTGGTGTAAACGCTGTAGTAGAAATTATAAAAACCGTTCCCTCAGATCAGGATACATTAAAAAATTGTATGCTGTTTATTCAGAATATGAATGATTCAAATGTTCAAATAGAGGGAGGAGATCTCGGTGTTGCTTTACTAAATGTGTTTACGTCAAATTCATATAATGTCAAATTGGGTAATGTAATTGTGTCAGCATTGTCTGTTGCTGCTAAGTCTGATTCTGGTTCAAAGATCTTAAATGCAGAGGGAGCACATCATAAATTAATAGACCACTGCCTATCATTGCAGGTGGTAAATGATGATACGGCTGAAATTGTTGAGGGTGTATTTGACGCTATTAAAAATTTGTCCTCAAACGGTTATGTGGTTCCGACAATAATTGAAAAATCGGTTGTCATTTTGGACAAATTTAAATCGTACCCAAGAATTGTTTCCAAAGGAAGTGATGCTATGAAATGTGCTGTTGGTCCAGAACAACTAACTGAATGTTTGAACATTTTAAAAACATCAGAGCAGGGATCAAAGGAGCAGGACGCAGCACTAGAGTTACTTAGTTCTCTTTCGTATATTTCTTCCATAACAGATAAGGTAGTAGAATCTGGAGGAATCCCAGTCCTTGTAGAATTAATCAATAGTGGATTACAACAGTATGAAAGTAATCCTGAGAAAATATCCAGACTAGTAGCTGGGGCATCTAGAATGTTGGGAAGAATTTCAAATAATCCTCCTCATGCTGTCATAGTTTATGAATATGGAGGCATTGCAACGCTTTGTACTGCTTTATCCTACTTTCCCAATGATGCCGATTGTGCAAGTGCTGTGTGTAATGCGCTAATTCCCTTCGTGTCTCGATCTAACTATGTGAATGAAATAAATAGTTACTCATTGTTTGCGTCGTTATTCCCAATATTGTACGCATCTTTGGACTCCATTGAGCTAGCCAAAGCGAGTATGTCCTGCATAGCCTCTGCTTCGATGATTAACGAGTTTCACGAACAAATGGTAAACAATCAAGCAATAGAAATTTTATCCACCTGTATTCAGTACCATGTGAATGAAACGAAATACCTCTTAAATTGTTTTACGGCATACTTCAGATTATCAGACTATATAACGACAGTGGAACCTATTAATCAGTACGGAGGGGTAACAGGAATTGCGAATGCGTTGTCAGCTGTGAGTAATGACAGTACCATAGCAGAAATTGGTCTAAAATTGATAAACAAGATGTTGACCGCTTCAGACGCCTTGAACTATTTGAGCAATCAGCAGGTAGTCGATTCGGTATTGACTGTTATGCTGGAAAATGAAACGAAAGAAGTGATCATACAAGAAGGAACGAAAATTATGGAGAAGTTAGCCACTGAAAGTGACTGTCAAAGGCACATATCTAATTTGGAGTCGATTATAAATTTGGCTCAGTCAAATCCGGAAGCTGCGTACAAAACGTTAGCTGCAATTTCTGGACTGTCTCGAATCCAATCTTTAAAAAGTATACTAGAGTCGAAAGGTGCTGACAGTTCGATATATAACGGCATGAAGGTATGGATTGAATCCCCTCGTTTTAATGAACAACCCAAGTTAATCAAAGCAGCTTTGAAAACGATCAAGATATTGAAACTGAATGCAGCAGGTACAATTCACGAGGTAATAACATCCATAGTTGATGTGATGTGTATTTCTCAAGTGAAGAGACTTGCGGAAATTGAAGAACCAGACGACAACATTCTCATTACGGCCGCGGAGTGTATAAACTATTTAACCGAAATTAACAAAATAAATAATAAAGAAATTGTAGAATCCAGTTTAGATAGCATATTTAAGTTGATGAAGAAGTATTCAGATTCTCGCATGACTCAGACAAATCTACTTGCAGCAATAAATAACATACTCCTGAGTAGCAATATGATTGGCGTGGATGTGTTGGTTAACAAGGGTTACGTGAAGCAGATTGTTAATTATATTCATAAGGTGCCCATGTATGTGGATGTGCAGATAATTGGATTTAGCGTGTTGGGAAATATTATAAAAATTAGCCCAGAATCGATCGACTGTATAAAGAAGGCCAATACGTTGATTCCACTTCAGAACTCTCTGCGGACACATGCGAAGAATGCTAAGCTGAAGGCGATATGTGCCCCTCTGTTGGCAATGCTAATGCCGTTAGACTCGCTAACGAAGGAAATTGAGGATCATATAAAACTGTGCAATGAAGCTATGAGTGAAAAGGACCTCATCAAATTGCATGAGTATTTGATTTCTCTCAACGAGTTGTTACTAACCGCAGAGGCGAGTAAGATATCTTCTCGTTGTAACGTGGGGGAGAACCTTCAGAATATGGTTCAGTGGTTGAAGGACAATCCGACTATTTACAAATCTACAGTAAATAAGGACTATAGCATTTTAGGACGCAGTTTGTATGACGCAACGATATCAGAAATTGCACATGCTTGCACAAATATATCTCAGACAAGAATTGGATTAGTGCATCTGACGAAAAGCGATATGACTTCCGCACTTATAGAAGCATACAACCTTTTAACATTACCAGGAAATGAGTACACGGAAGAGGCTGTTTCGAATATACTGGAGTCGCTAAGTGTGCTCCTAAAGCATGACATTACCAATGCAGATATAGCATTTAACAAAGGCTTGGTTAAGAAATTGTGTGCTGGCATTAACCACTTTTCCGAATCGGACACTGTTATTAAGAGCACTTTGGGATGTTTAGCTTGCATGTGCACGAGTGAAAAGCGCGTCAACCACTTAATTACACACCCGGAATATGATAAGCTCATAGCGTTGATTGTAGACCTGATAGGTAACTCGGAGAAGTATAAGAGTTCGAGGGGAAATGCTATAAAGGCTTTGTACGAGCTTTTAAAAACGGAGGATGAACAGATAATAACAAATATAGCTAGCAAGACTCCAATTGTGGACAATCTGTTTAAGATTATGGGAGAGTATCAAGCAGATTTGCCTATCGTTCAGGACAGTGCGAAATGTTTGGCAATTATAGCAGACCATATAAATATTGATGAGAAGATGAAGATAGACAAATATTCAGCTATTAAAATATTGCTAGAAACTTTGGGCAAAAATAAGAATGACGAAATGACAGCCCAGGATATACTCACCGTGTTGATCAAGCTGTGCAATAGTAATGATAAGATGAAGCTGAGGGAATTAGGTGCGGTGGATGTCATTTCGGACGTTACGATGATACACAGTGAGAATGAGGAGATTTCCAGACTGGGTGGAGTTTTATTTTCCTACATGGGAGCCGATGAACAGGTAAAGAAATTGATGAAATTGATATTGAATGTTAAATCTAGTGAAAGCGATGCGGTGCAGAAGATAGATAACCTGTGTAGTCAGTTGGAGATGTTTTTGAGGGCCCCTCTGGAGAACCCCCTGGACGCGTTGGAGTATACGGAGGCTACACTGCAGCAGTTGAATGGATATTTGACTTCTCAATTGGATAATGCATCTCTGCAAGCGAATATCGCATTGGTGACAAAAAGGTTAGTAGATCGTGTGAAGTATGATCATGAGGATCAGCTGGGAGCTTGGGCGGTTGCTTCTTCAGGTGTGTTAAATCAGTACACGGACATGATTGCGAACAAGATTGGATTAGCCAACAGTAAATTTGTATCCCCTGTGTATAGTGTCCTAGCAGGATGTGTATTAAATCCTTACACGAAGCAGCTGGTGTTGGATAAGTTGGCCCCGATACTGGACAACACGTACGAAATTTTGGAGGAGTACAAAAACAAGCCATATGCAGTGCAAGGCATATATGAACTGCTCGAACAGGTGGCAAAGGATGAAGAGGGTGCAAAGTTGTTGTACATGAAATGGAATGGTCCCATGGGGAACATAGTAGATCAAACGCTTGCCATCATGAATTTAAACAGAGCAAACGATTGTGTATTCGTGCCTGGTATTAAATTATTGGGTGCCCTTGCACAAACGTCTAACAGTTCTGGGTATGTAAATAACATGGACAATGCACACATCATAGAGTCCTGCGGGATGTTGCTAAATTTGGGTTCTAGTAAAGACAGGACAGTGGAATTTATCAATTTTGTAGACACTATGGTTGTGTCGAGCCTTTTAGACGAAAATGTAGCCTCTGAAACGTTGAAAAAAATTAGTTCTTTATTATCTGAGGAAAATTTATCCAATTATACAGAGCAAGGTCGTGTAGAAATTATCAAGGCGTATGCAAATGTGTTGAAGAACGCTGCATCTACAGGGTTATTTACGCACATTCGTCAGACAGATAAGACGCAGGCCTTGGACAATTTAGCTAGGCTGATGGAATATGAGCCATGTGAAGAAGTGAATGTAGCAATTTTGGAAGCACTGAGTGAGATAGCTACATGTGACTCGTCCACCTCGCTGAAGATAGTGACCTCCGCTTTACCAGCCATTGTCCAGAGCAACCATGAAGATTTAATAAATGATAACGCGACGGCAGAAAGTTTTCTTCGTACTTTGGAAAAATTGGTAGAAAGGGAAGGGATAGGGCGACAGATCGCCAACAATGATGAAATGTACAAAATGTTGGATGAGTTGGAGGTTAGCTTAGAGGGGAAGAAGGAGGAATTAGGAGAAGAATACGTGAATGGCGTAAAAATGAGAATCTCTAGTGTGCGTAATGCTATAAATGACGATATGCCAAAGCAGAAGACATGTAAAGATGTATACGACATGTTGACAGAGTACAAGTTGAAATCGATGGAGATCAACGTTCTGCTTGACGCGTCGTTGGAAGAAGATATGAGTTATGTACTAGAGAGATTGAAGGTGTACAATAAGGATAACCTTTTGCCCACGACCGAAGCTGGAACGGACAATTCGTACGGCTACATGGCAATAGAAATATTCTGTGAGAATACGGATAATGTGAAAGAGCTAGTGAAGAAAGGATTTCATACAAGTGCTTTTCATTCGTTGATCAAACAACCAAATGAAAATGTGAAGCATTATTCGTGCCGTGCTTTATGTGCCCTTACGAAGAACCCAATAGGGTTGGAGCATGTAATTAAGGAGATAAAGGATTATCCAAATTTGATTAGTAAATCGGTTGGAGATTTGTGTATGGAGAAAACACTTGACAAGGATGATAAGGAAGATTTCCTGATCAATCGTGTTTTGTTAATAGATAGAACAGCACACAGCAGAAATGTGTATGATCGAACAAATGCGGTTAACCATTTGGTAGAAATATGGAATCAGTATGATCATGGAGATTATTCCGTTTCCGTGCTTCGTCATGTATTCAGAGCTATGAGGAAAATTGTGTCCGATGCGCATGTGGAAATGTTACTCAAGGCAGATGTGTTAATGCGGCTGACTGGAATTATTAACAATGTCGAAACGGATAAGATAATATACCCAGATGTTCTTTTCCTGATAGGAAGTTTATCTGTGGTGAAGGAGATAAAAACGCAGATTGGAGAAAACAAGGGGATAGATGCATGTGTCAATTTGTTGTTGAGATCGATTGGTGTGGAGAATATGGAGCCGACCATTACCAACTGCTGTTTGGCCTTAGCCAACATGTGTATAGACCACAAGGTGAATTCGAATATTTTCTGTGCATTGAAAGGTCCCGATCTGAATGTAAGAATATTGAAAGATTATCGTTCTAATTTTGACGTAACGAATGGTGCTTCCGTTCTGTTGTGTAATATTTTGTTTAGAAACGAAGATATGAAGAGGACTTATGGAACGAATGGGGCTCCAGCTGAATTAGTTCAATGTTTAAGAAGCTATGATGGTAGTGACAACAAGAATGCAGTGAGGTGTATCGAGAGTTTGTTCAAAGCCATTTCGAACTTATCCTTATATACGGCAAATGTGAGATATTTCCTAGACGCACAGATAGAAATTTCATACGAGTCTTGGTTGAACAAGCTCAATGAATCTTTCCCAGATGCAGAGTTGGAAACGGGTTTGCGTACCTTATCGAATTTGGTTATGGAAAATGAAGAAAGGAACATGAAGAATTTTGGCATAACATTAATTCCCGTGTTAAATGTTCTTAGACAGAATAGAGAAAATACCAAGGTGGTATTTTTTTTGCTGGACATTTTGTGCTCTCTTTGCAGACACAACGATAATGCAAAAATGTTTTCGGAGAATGGGGGTATAGAAACGACCATAAATGTGATTCAGTTATACGATTATGATATAAGTTTGCTGACCTTGGCTATTCATTTGTTGAGCAATCAATGCAAAATTGAATCTAGCTTGCCTCTGTTGGTGAAGTCTGATACGTTTGGTATTTTAATTAGTTGCATTGAAGCCGAGACCGAAGAATTTGAAATTACTGAATTGGTGGTATCTTCTCTGCGCTGCATCAGGCGTTTAATCCAGTCGGAAGAGTTGGCCTATGAATTTTGCAACTGTGGTGGTGTGCCTTCTATTGCGAATTTGATATGCAACTCTGTGAAGAAGTCCATCGTTATGTTGGAGGCGTTGCGTGTGTTGCTTTGCATTTTTTACTACACGCAAAATGTGGAGGGTGTTACGAATGAATACACAGAGGAGGAGGAAGAATTGTATAATGCAAAGTTGGGTGGCTGGTACAACATTAGTATGGATAAGGAAATGGTCGATACGATTATCCAATCTGTGTTGACTTGTGCAAATGATAACCACCATCAGAAGCAGCTCAGATTGCAGAAGGTGTCGTTAGGACTGTTGGCTTACTTTGCATACCATAGGTTGGGAATCATATCTATGACTGCATCTGGATTTGATAGTTTGACGCGAGAAAATTTAAATAACTTTGGTGGGGACGGTGTAATAATGCAGCTGTTATCCATATGTATTGATAATATTGCCATGTATTCAGCTGAGGTGTACGACATGACTGTGTCTAGGGATATTATAAAAGGGTTCAAATCTTCCGTCTCGAAAATGAGTAACAAGAAGGAGGATAAGCATATCGTGCAGAAAGTGGAGCTCACTGTGGAAGCAATGAATTCTGCTGAGGATCCTCTGGATGCATTTAAGGACACTCTCTTAACATTTGATTTCAGCTTATCCGAGTTTGACAAGGATCCATATGTGAATGGGGTGCATGACTTGTCTGCAAACATAAAGGACGCCTTACGCAAGGGAGGAATGAGCAAAATATATCACAACAGCGATAAGAGGAAGCCATTTAAGTGGAAGGCGAGTCAAGACCTGGCTACGTTAGAATGGACCGTTGGGGATGACACGGAGCATATATTTAAAATTTCTGTGGTGCGTATTAAGAACATATCTAAGGGTTTAACGCACCCGTTGCTAAAGGCGAGTAACAAGAGGGAGCCCAGGAAGGTCAATGCGAAGGTAACGTTGTGTATCTACGGGCCGCCCACGGAGGACTTCCCCGAAGGGCTAGAGTTGCCCATTAAGACCAAGACGCAGAAGGAGCGTGACGCTTTCGTGGACTTGCTGGTGCTGTGGCGTGACGCAGCCAGCTACAATTATTAGAGGTGATTCCCGGGGAGCGCTCTCCTCCGCCTCTTCTTCTCCTTATCCGCGCCGGTGGCGCGATTATACACCTCCCCTGCGGAGACCGGTTACACGCGTTTTATTTTTTTTTTTTTGCTTATTTTTGAGCCTCTCCCTGGTGCAGCCAGGCGGGGTGACGAAATGATGTTATAGCCCCCATGGGAGAAATTGCACCATTGGGCAGAACAACAAAAAAGAAAAGAAAAAAAAAAAAACGACGTATAAAAGCCCCAGAAGTTTGGTGCTATTTTTTTCGCATAAAAAAAAAAAAATAATAACTAAGCGGTTAAATTCCCGTTCGATGCAACCTTTCGTAACAAATGGAGATATGCATGAAAGTGCAGACCATTTGAAATGTTAAGACATGGTCCAATTATTTCGATCAATGATGGGGTGGCTTTGGGCCCCCTGCGTGGGGGGATATAATGCTTCACGTGACAGAAAGACGTACACGTGTGGCGCCCCTAATGCCCATTTTGCCCGTCTTGCCGAATATCATGTTAATAATTCGAATGAGACAGTTTTTGCAGCCTCGTGGAAAAAGGGGAAAAAAATATGCTAGCAAGTGTGAGCCAGATCGGGTGCAGCAGTAAGCACACCCGACATGCGCAGCCATGTACACACCAGATGACTTACAATTCACGCGTTTCCCCCTTTTTTTTTCAAAATTACCCTTACGACTTGCGCCCGTTGAATTTATGCAGATCTACTCTGGTTACCCATTTGCCAAATGGTAAAAAAAAAAAAAAAAAAGGAATTAATACTGTGGTTCGGGCTTAAAATGGTGTAATTGGAAATCGAGTCCACGTTTCTTATTCCGTTTTGCGTGCGCGTTGGGTTCGTTAAAAACAGATGATTTAGAAGTACATATAGGTCGTATTTATAGGCCAAAGGTGTATGTACAAAGGGCATGTGGACGTACGAGAGTATAGGAACAGTGGTGTGCGTGATGTAGTATCTACCTATGGGAATGCATCAGGTGTTGAAAAAGGGGGACAGAGAGGGGTGCAGGAGCGGGGAGTACACCAAGTGGTAGTGCATCACGTGGACATAGTGAATAACGCCACGTGTAAATGCCTTGCAGATGCCACGCGAACGGAGCAAAGTAGCATGAAGAGGTGCGGGCGGCTAGTCCTTGTTATCCATATCGTCATCCATTTTAGGCGCCAAGAAAAATTTAACAAAGCCCACCTTGAGAGTGTCTGCGTCTGGGGATGTGTCTTTTATTTCATACTTAAACTCGATGGGTCTATTGTCACTTAAGCCCAGGGTGACTACATCGGAGAGGATAGTTGACTTGGAGAACAAATTTAAATATTTGATGGCAAAGGATTGTTTAATTTTTTTCCTAGACTTGATAGTAACCCCCACATCATCTTCACTTGTGGATTCCCTTGGCTTTAATGCCACTTCTGCATCACCCACTAAACCTTTTGTAGTAAATTTAATAATATTAGAATCTATTTCGATAAATACAGTATCAGAAAATTCAGATAAATTTCTGAAGATGTTTGTTAATTCTTTGCTACTCAATTCTACCTCTGCATCAAAACCTTCTTCACAGTCTGGGATGTTTAAAGAGTCCAATTCAATTGACATTAATTTTAAGGAGAAGTTTGTCACTTTATCTTCTTTATTATTTTCGAAAACAAAGTTGAGATTATCTTCGTCATCCTTGCTTGATATAACTACTGATTCGTTGGCGCCACATAATTTGAAGACTTTATTTAGCGAGGCAATATTAACACCCAAGACTCTTTCCCGATCACATCTGTAGTGTGAGAAACCCGAATCCACCAAGTGCAGACTGACTAATGATACATGGTTCCCATCCAGTGCTTGTAATTTCAACCCACTTTCGTCTGCGTCTACATTTGCGTCATTTACCAAATCTTTGATGCACTCAAATAGCTTCTTCAAAATGGATGCATTGTTTAGCTTGGCCTCTAACATTTTGTCGACCTGTCGGGGGAGTATATGTGCGGGGAGGCATGAGCATGCACGAGCATACATGAGCATACACAGGCATACACGAGCACACACAAGCACACACAAGCACACACATGCATGGACGAGCACACGTGAGCATACACATACGTGTGCCGCGCCGTACACTTCGTATGTGTCGTACCTGTTATTAAAATTATAGGGGAAAAAATTATGTAGTGGCGTCCGTTATGGAGTGGCTTCTATGCGAATCTTGTGTATATGAGCGCTTCGCTTCCCTGGTCAATCTTTTTTTTTTTTTTTTTTTTCTGCAGCCGGGTGTGTAAATCCTTTCCTCACTAGAGAAAAATTGGGGTTCCTTATTAATTCCTCAAAGCACACATCAATTGGCTTCCTTCGCAATACATGTGCACAAGTACATACGCGCAAATGAACATAAGCATATATATTTATGTAAGCACGCTAATTCTTTTTAAACGTTACGTGTGCTCTTATGAAGATGCCGAATTACACTTGTATACCCTATGTCAAAAAAAA